GGTGGATTTAAAACTGACTGAACTGCTGGTCTCAGAGGTTGTAATCAGCAAACCAAAGGCCTGCTGGAGGCCAATTACTCTTTGGAAGTAGCCTGAGAATACTGGGGCTAATACTGCTTAACCTCTCTATTAAGGACCTGAAAGTTATGAGTGCACTGTCAGCAGGTTTGCAGGTGATACCAAATTAGGAGTGTTTGATACACCAGGTTGTTGTGCTGCAATACTTTGCCAAGCTGGTGAAGTGGACAGGGAGGAACCTCAAGAAGTTCGACAAAGGAAATGCAAAGCCCTGCACCTGGAGAATAACTCCGAGCACCAGAACAGATTGGATAGAGACTTCCTGGCTGGAAAGAAGCTCTGCAGAGGAGGAGCTCAGGGTCCTGGCAGAAAAGTTGAGCACAAGCCAGCACTGCAGTCTCACAGCAAAGAAGACCAAGAGCATCCTGGGTTGCATAGGATTAGCATGGTCAGCAGGTCAACAGAGGTGATCCTTCCCCTCTCCTCAGCACTGCTGAGGCAGCATCAGATTCACTCTACAACTACTTGAAAAGAGGTTGTAGCGAGGTGGGGTTGGTCTCTTGTCACTAGTAACAAGCAACAGGATAAGAGGAAAGGGACTCAAGTTGTGCCCGGGATATTTAAATGAGATATTAGAAGAAACTTCTTCACTTGAAAGGGCAATTAAACATTGGAATAGGCTGCCCAGGGAGGTGGTTGAATCACCATTCCTGGAGGTGTTTAAAAGAGGGATAGATGTGGTGCTTAGGAACATGGTTTAAACACTGGAATTGGTAGAGTTAGGTTAATGGTTGAAAGAGTTTGGTTATGATTGGACTTGACTTGATGACCTTAAAGGTTTTTTCCAACCTGAACGGTGCTGTGTGATTCTGGGTGTGATTCTGTGAAGTGCCATGTACAGGAAAGACATGGACATAATGGAACAAGGCCACCCAGGGAGAGGCCCTGAAGGGCTTCTGTAATGGTTAAGGGCCTGGAGCATCTGATGTACATGGAAAGGCTGAGAGAACTTGGGTTGTGTAGCCTGCAGGGGAGAAAGCTCAGGCAGGGATATTAATGTCTGCAAATACCTGATAGGACGGAATGAAGAAGATGGAGCCATACTCTTCCCAGAGAGTCTCACTGAGTTTCAGAGTCTCAGTGGTTCTCAGTGGCAAGACAAGAGACAAGGGCACAAACTGAAATGCAGAAAATTATGTTTAAACCTAATAAAAATAATGGTTTTGATTTTTGGTTTAAACATACTAAAACAGGCTGCCCAACGAGCTTGTGGCATCTAAATATATTCAAAACCTGACTGGACATAGTCCTGAGCAGCCTGCTCTGGCTGCCCCTGCTTTGAGCCAGGGAGTTGGAAAAGACAATCTCTAGACACCCTGCCAGCCTCACCTGCCATCCATAGAAGAAAATTTCTCTCTCCTTTTTATGAATCAGAGACAAACCATTGGTATTTTTAAAAGACAAGATACAACTGCTCAGTCCCACCTACCAAATGTGCACTCTTCTTCCATCACTTGATGTTTTTTGAAGCCAGAGTCTTTTCTTTCATTACTCCATTCTTTTCCTGCCTTTGGTCTACTGTTCACATGCACACCCTGTTCTTACCATTCTAGTTCCTTGTTAAGTCCTTGGAGAAATATTCCAGCAAAACCCCTGAATCCATCTCCATCACTCTTTAAAATGGCTTCCCTGCCTTGACTTCCATTTAAGAGTTCCCCACTGTCTTTGTAATGTTCCCTTTACCCATAACTCCAGCATTTAATTTTCATGGCCCAAAAACCCAGATCCATATTCTAGATGAGGAGCCAGCTGTGGTTATCACTGCAATAGGGAATAAATCAAAATTTAATGGAATAATTGTGAGGTTATTTTAGGTTTGTTTATTTATTTTATATATTAAAGTTACTTTGCCTCCTCTTCACTGTCCTTTTTCTTAGGTGCTGTATAGCCATTAAACTACATCATGAGAGAATCATCACTTTTGCCTTAGAAATATCACCATGCTCCATATCAATTTAATATTAGCCAGTTAATCTCTATAATGCTATAATCCAAAACTGTAAGAAAAATGTAAAGGCTAATGCCAAAAATTTTAGTTGCCTATTTGTTATCATGATGGCTGATGCAGTGGATACCAAGATGTCTTTATGCTTTCATGCGAAAAATAACTTACCCAGGCAAATGAAAAAGTAAAATTGGCAATAGTAGCTTAATTTCTCAAATCTGGCATATAGGTCTATGCTTCCAGTAAGCCTGGTGCTGGCAAGCACAATTGACTTTTATTTTAAAACCAGATACATTTTAATTATGTTCCCTCTAGATTCCCTCTTAATTAATTGGAAATATCCAAAGAGTTAATTAAAAATATAAACTTTATTTGATTCTGTATCAAACCTGCCATTATGATCTTTTTATCTACAAGGCAAGAATTATGTGGGATCAAAAGTCTGAATCATTCATGGTAGTTTCCAGCCATTTTTTCCCCTGTCCATTGTTCAGTATAAAATCTTATAAGCTTTTCTTTCAGTCAAGGTGAAAGCAATATTAAGTCTTAGAAGTGAGACTTACCAAAGACATGTAGCTCTGTGAAATCCCTGTCTTGTAATCTTGCCTTTCTATTCACCACCTCTACTCAATATCCCACTTTCTATATAAGCTTCACAATATATAAGCAGTTGATGAGATTTATGTGTTTTATTCCTGTTTTCTTTCTCCATAAAAAAGCTTTGTCCTTAGTGCTGGTATCTGTGATTGTTTTTGCTGGGCTTAATAATCATGCAGCTCCATTCAAGATGCTGGGCAGTTGGTAGAGGGTGGAAAGTGAGGGAGGAGGAGAGTTGTGTTTGTTAAGATTTAGGACAGTATGTGTAGTGAATTTTAAAAACATTGCTAAAATCCAGATAAATAATTGTGAACTTACATGGGTGATTGTGCACTTCTGAAAGATGCTTTATGAATCAAAGCTTGGCCCTAGTACATTGGACTAAACAGAATTATTTCTGGTCATTTTGGAGACATGATAACATATGAGATAGAAGTTGAGTCTGCTCTATGCTAATGAGTCCTACATTTCCTTTTTGCAATATTGTTCCTGATGCCTTTAGCAGCTCCAAGTATGTTTTTCTTACAGCCTCTGACTTCATCTGTCATGGCATTTTTCTCTTAAATAAACACATTTCTGGTTAGAAATGTAAAAGCTTTCTTATTTGTTATTAAGGTTCAAACCATAAAGAGTATTATTGTTGTTAAAGTTCTTTGTCTCTAACCTTTTAAAAGTAAATCACTGCTTTTAAGGTGAATTAAAACATACAGAGAATTCAGTATGCAAATAGCATGCACACCAGATGATCTGAAGGAAGGCTGCACATTTCCATAGAAAACAAATGCGAGTGCAGGAAAGCAGAGTGTACATACAGTTCTCAAGAGGACCTGAACAGCAATTTATTTTCAGACTGCTAGAAGTATGCAAATTCCTACAGAATTAAATGTGAATTTAAAAGAAATGGCATCTATTAAGGACAAGACAACCCAAAGAGGCAATTGGGAACTTAATAATTTAATCAAGAACTTTAACAGGCTCAGCAGTGTATCTAAAGTCAGTGACTCAAATGTCATCTCCTTTTAGCAAAGATGTAAGTGGTCATGTTGAAAAGATGTCTTTTAGAGGATGGGATTTGAAGTCTATCTGTGACCACAGGCAAGTATGGTAGTGTGCTGTGTATAGATTTTCAGAAGATTCTCTATCAAACAAAGCATCATCTGTTCACTTGAGCTGCTTATAGGATATAGTAGTGAGACACTTGTGGTGTATTGCCAGAATTATGGTTGTTGGTTTTGACTTTTATTAGTTTAACCCAGCAAGTCAGTATAAGTTTGATGCATGTAAACACCACAGTTATTAATTAAAATCTTACTGCTGGGCTCTGTTCCACCTGATGGCTGTGGGACTGGCTGGATGTTACTGAGATTATGACCTGAAGGCAAGGGAATAGTGCAAAGGGCAGGGGCACAGCCTTGCACAAGGGGTATTGCTGGTGAGCTGGCAGCCACCTGCATAGACATGGGATATATGTTTTTTATTTATTTCTACAAAAGTACCATATTAGTGGAGTGGGGACGAGCTCACAGGGTGGCAGAACTCAGGCTTGGCAGGCAGTGCTGCCTCCACCCTTCCCCATTGCCCTTACAGAATCCAGCTGCTCAGTTCATCCTGCTGCTTTTTTGTCTCTTAGCAATTCCATTTAATTACTCCATTTGTCCAGGGAGATGGCTGCATGGGGCCCGGGAGGGCAGGAGGGCTTGGTTTAGAGGAATGTGCAACATCACATTTAGTATAATTTTAAGACAAAACATGTAAGGTCAGATGTGTCCATTTAGATGCACTGAAAACTACAAGTTTTCAGGCCTTTTGAAAGCTGTCAGAAGGCAAGGAAGGTCACTGCTTCTAACTTTAGGAATTTAACTTCAGGCATTTGTATATGCCAAGGCCTGGCCTGGGTCCTCATGGCAGGAAACCCCCTGTACAACCTGGAGCCTGCTGAGCCCCGCTGTGCTGGTGCAGTTTAATAAACCCAGTGAGGGGCTGGGCAGTGTCACCCACCCCTCAAGGAACAGAGTAAACAGGAGTTTGCTGAGTGGGTAGATGCAGTGTTACCTCATTCCAGAGCTGAAGTACTTGAACTGATAACTAAAATTAACCTGCTCAGCAGGGGAGACACTGTGATTGCAGGGGTGAGTTTGCCAGGTAAGGTCACCTCCGCAAGAGGAGCCTTCTCAGCCGTGTGAGTTGCTGTTCTTTATACTCTGCCCATCTGCTTTAAAAACACACAGGACTGCACTGTGTCTGTAAAACACAGCAATACTCCAGCTGTGCCTGGACTGAGTATAGAGGATTACCAAAATGTTCATTCTCTGGCTGTTTCCACTGGTTAAGGGTCATCCTCTTACAACTGAATAATAGGTAATTTTTTTTCTTCACACAGGTTGTAGTCCTTGGCAAACATTCCAGAGGCTATCACTACATGTTAGCTAACCTGGTAAGAACTTACTTCATTACAAGTATAGCTAAGTTTGAGGGTAATATATTCTGTTCAGGTCGTGGCAACTTTAATCAGTAAGAGAGGAAATGGATGGATGAGTTCTTGGATTTTGATAAATTATTTCAGTAAATGCTAGAACTGGTATGTTCTAGTAATTTATACTCAGTAATGGTCCTTCTTTTGTCTAAGAATCTCAATTCCTCTCCTATTTTAAAATAATTATTTAATTGTGTGTTTTCCACTAATTTGTATCCTCATAAATAAGACACTTGATAACTGTAATCTTCTAGGTCATGTATTTGAAATTTAAGCACTCCAGGAAAAATTGTAGCATATTTTTGTATAAAATAAGTGGTAAAAAGCTGCAAATTAGAACAATTCCTTCAAGGAAACGAGCCAGGCTGTTTAGCTGTGCTTTTGTATTTCAAACTGTAGGTTTGTGCTTGTGTATGTGTTCACCTGCCAGGACAAGGCAGTACATTTTTATCTGCATCAGAGCTTCTTCTAGATTCTAGAATTGATTTTCAGGGATATTTATGGTGCCATATGCTAGAGTTCCTTAGAAGAAGTATTATATTGTAATTGGTGCTGTGGTAAGACTAGATTTTGTGTTCTGTGTTTACTATAAGTGGGAAAATGTTTTTCCAAAAATCACACTTTCAAGTTAGCAATCCTACTTAGTAGAATTTTCTCTGTATCCATGTTTTGGTGTGATTAAAGTACAAAAACAAGATTTAAAATACCCTTATTTAGTGTAAGTACTGCATGATTTTAAGATGTGTCATTTTGCATTATAAGAACCAGTCATGATCTCACTGTGCATAGAAATACAGGGGTTCTTATTCTGGGTTGCCTTCTAGCAAGTATAACCATTGACATTCAGATAAACATGACTGCAATCAAGTCATACCAATCAAAAAGACACCAATTTACTGCCTCAGATATAAATAGCAACAGAGTGGGAGAGAATCATACCTTTATGTTTGCAAATGAACATGTTCTGTAATGCTGTAACTGCCTGGTAAGAGATGTGGTCTTTGCCTTCACAGAACAAATGGGTGGGCAGTGGTTTTCTGCTCCCAGCACTGAACCCTCCTGTGCACTTTGCTGTACAAATGGGAGTAAGGTCTTTGAAAAGTTTTCACTGTGATGAGGAGAAAAGAGGAAATACTCAAATTTCCTCACTGTTATCTTTCTGACTAGTGAATATTATGTACCACATTGCCACAGCACAACTGGGCAGTTTCTATGGCACAAGTCCGAAAAGAAGATGTTTTAAACTCTGTTCTATGCTACATATATATTCTGTTCTATTTAAAGTCTATTCAGTTGGGATTGTGATAATAATTGTCTCCTTGGTAGAATATTTTAAGCTAACAAATGGGAATTTAATCAGTTTCTTTTCTGCTACGCTTATAGCAGGTAAAACTGGGACTTTGGATGGCAATGATTCTTGTTTTCTACATGTGTCCTCCCAGGGTTTCACAGACATTGTTCTGGAGAGAGTAATGCACGGAGGTGCCAACATTACTGGATTCCAGATTGTTAATAATGAAAACCCAATGGTTCAACAGTTTCTGCAGCGCTGGGTGAGGCTCGATGAGAGGGAATTCCCTGAAGCCAAAAACTCACCATTAAAGGTATTCATTTTACTAGTGATGGAGACTGTATGAGTTGCTTTTAACACTTATTTGGGGTATTTAACCCCATGTGTGTACATGTGTATGATACAGATCCCTGATTAGAATATGATGCAACATTCATTGCCTTTCCTAGTAAGGAAAAATCTAGTCCTGCCCAGTGCCTGGGGGGATACCAGGGTAGGTGGCAGAACCATGTTGGACCACAGACAGAAGAGGAACCTGTTATGAGGTTCTGCTGCCAGAAGGCTGATGCCATTCTCAAACATACTTTTCCATCCCTGGTAACGTGTGATTTCTATGGAGGAGGAAAGTTATCTTAATCCCATGTCATCCCTTGAGTAAGCAGAGAAAGGCAAACAGAGGCCCACAACATGTGGATTAGTGTATTGTTCCCTGTTGATTAGGTCCTAGGCCTGCATTCTAAAGCTTCCCAGCAGTGATGCAGAAGTAAAGATAAGTATCTTACTAATCTTAAAAGCTCTGAAATGTACGAAGTTAACGTGGGAAGATTTTATTCCACTTGAAAGCAATTTACCTTGAGGGAAAAATTACTCTCTGTCCTTAAAAAGGAATCTTAACTATATGGTACAAACACAAAGATTACATTACCTTTCCACAAATGTACTGCTCATTATAGAAATATGCACCGTATTTGTCAATCAGACAGAAAGCATGCTTAAAAATCAATGTACAATAGTTTTGATTAGGAAATAAAATTGCCTAGAGATTAAAGCCCTGATGTTTAATTTATTCTGTATTTTATCAGCCTTTCCCTTCCGTCTTTCTTTTTTCTCTTTGCATGCTCATGCATTTGTAAGTAGAATTCAAATAAAGTAGAAAATGAGATAGCTCTCTTGGCATGACTTGGAAGGGGCTGCTTTAAGGTTACTGGGAATTGATGCAGTCTGCTGAAAAAATCCTCAGTGTGTAAGTTTTATGTCGTTCTAGACTGGACAGCTATTACAAGGGTCTTTTAATACAAGCACGAACACCACAAAATTACTATCTGATTCTGTACTGTTGTGTGGAATGTGATGTATAACCTTTGTTAACTTGCTGAGAGAGGAGAGGGTGATCATTGCAAAGCATCACAGGAAGAGGTAAAGGTGAGTGGGATAAAAAGAGTGCCAGTACCGAGGTACAGTCAGAACAGGAACCACCCCACAAGCACCCAGTAGGAGTGTAAACTGTCCTGCCCTGCAGGATAGAATTAACTTCTGAAATGTATGTCATATCCACAAAGAGAGTAGCTGCACATGCAGTTGAAACTTGGATTTCCACCTTCCTAAGTTAGAAAGACCTGGGCAGCAGGTCTTCTGGCACTAAGTCCAGCAAAGGTTCCTTGGGAGCCACGAGCTCTACTGTATCACACTGACAGCCAAAAAAAGGTCTCAGATATGGTCTCAGTAGGGCAGAGTAGAGGGAGTGGATAAACTCCCTTGAATTGCTGGACACACTCTTCTGAAAGCACCCCAGGGATACCACTGGCCTTCTTGGCCACAAGGGCACATTGCTGTTCCATGGATAACTTCTTGTCCACCAGGACTCCAAGGTCTTTTTCCATGGAGCTGCTTTTCAGCAGGTCAGCTCCCAGTCTGTACTGGTGTATGGTATTATTCCTCTCCAGGTGCAGGGCTAATTACATGGGTCAGTTACAAAGGGGTTGAAATCTGGGCTTACATACTTAGCAAATTCAGTTGCTCCCATGTTGAAATGGTCTCCTGTAAACAGACCTTTAAGTTAGAGGAGTGCTGTAATGTCAGTGCAAACCAAGGGGTGTCATATGCAAAGCCTGGGACACTCTAGGATGGAATAACTTTTAGACAAACACATGAATGTGGAAAATATGTGAAAAAAAAACCCACATCCATGACAATTCCTTGGTGATACTGAAGTTATAGCATCAGAGGGTGTCACCAGATAATGTATGACAAGCAATGGATGAAATTGACAGCAATATGAATAAGTATTTAAGGAGCCTGGGGAGTTTGTTGAAGAGTTGCTGCTACTCAGATTTACCATGGAGTAAGACAAGGCAGATGGGGAATTACCAAGGAGATGTGATGCCTAAAGTGTATTTTGTGATTACTTACTTGTATAGCTGTCTTCTAAGAAAAGTAATCTGATCTGTTCCTTGCCACAGATGCTACCTAATCAGGATTGTGGGCCAAACAGAAATGATTTATGTTAATTTCAATTCAAAATTGTCTTGGCAATCTTGCTAAAATGAAAAAGAATACTCCAAGCAAAAGCCAAATTTGAGCTGCTCTTTGCTACTGGTAGCAGTAGGGGCCAGCATGGAATTGCAGACTTTTTTAGTGACCCCATTTAGATGAACAAGCTTCCAATTAAATTTAAACTTTATGCAACTATAATCTGGTTTTGTTACTTTGATGCTGCATGCTATACAAAATCAAAAAGTTTTTTGTTTGTTGATTGAAATAGATGGAACTGTTAAACTACAAAAAGCACCTGAGGCAAGACAGGGAGCAGGGAAAAGGGATCATAAGCATTATTCTTCTTAGAGTATTTTAACAAAGAGAAGGACTAGACCTGATAAACCTGGGGCAATTCTAAGACTGCAGTTTGTTACCATATTTTGTTTCCATCCATTTTAGTATACATCTGCACTGACCCATGATGCAGTCCTAGTCATAGCAGAGGCTTTCCGTTACCTCCGAAGGCAGCGTGTGGATGTCTCCAGGAGAGGCAGTGCTGGAGATTGCCTGGCTAACCCTGCGGTGCCGTGGAGCCAAGGAATTGATATAGAAAGAGCTCTGAAAATGGTAAGGGCAAACATCCCAGCTAATGAATGTGTAGATCCACTACTGCAGCAGTTCTCCTGGGACTGAACTTGCGTCCTACTCGGTGTGCACAGTCCCTGTACTCACACAAAGAGCTGCAGCTCCTCAGGGGAAAAGAAAAAGCAAACTTTATGCCAAACTCCAAAGAATGGCTAAAATAAATTCAATAGAGGGAAAAGCATAACAAATCAGCTCTCAAAACTTTGGCCAAAACCACATCCCTCTGGGGTTGATTGTCCACACCAGAGCACCTACAGTCTGACTGCCTCGTAACACCCAAGCTTACCCTGACAGTGAGTATGAGCCATTCTGCAAACAAATATTGGGCATTTCTGAAGTCAGGCTGAAGCTGGGTCCCCAGCAAGTGTATTGTAAATCTTGCAGGGATACATATGTTTATGAACTTAAACACATCTTGGTAATTCTGATAATTTGCTAGTAAAAAGACAACTTGGGCTGGTTTAAAGCAGTGGAAAAAATGGTATTGGTCATAGCAGTGCTGCTGGATTTCAGCACCAGCCTGAACCTTGACATGGTTTAGCTCCAACCAGTCCTGATTTCTGGCAGAACTTTTCACTCAGGTCGTTGCCTTCTCCATGGCCTGTTTTTTATCCCCAAACACTAGTTATTGTGTGGGATACTACCTCTTTAATTTTGTTGAGTTTTTTAGACTGCTATGTGTGTTAAAGCAAGTGACAGCAGGAAAACTTTAGTAACATTTCCACAGATATAGGAGGCAAGAGTATGATCTGCATTTGATCCGGCTCAAATAACTCAAAAACAAAGCTGTTAGAATGTATTATATTAATGCAGACATGGAAGTAGAGTGAGATCAGAATTAAGCCCATGTTGGGTATAAATTAATCCTAGGTAAGCCTTTGTACACCTAGTTTGATTACTGCTTTTTTCAGATACAGAATTTGAAGGATTATATCAGAAGGTTATAATGAACTATAGAAGATTATTCAGATTATATCCCTCTTAAGAACAAGAGAGATGGTTCAGTTTCACATTGCCAGAGCTCTTTTTATGCTGTCGTGTCACTTTCTAGCAAATGCCCTAACTCCACGTTCACTAATGTAGCATTGCATGCTTTTGAAGAGAAGTTAATTAAATTCAACCTTCACTAAAGTTAAAGAATTTGTACTGGCAATTTTAACTTAATTACAAGCAAAGCATAAAACTCTGAGTGAGGTATTCATGTCAACAACAACAACAAAAAAAACCAGCACTGCTGCAGGACACTTCCTTACTTGGGAAAATTTATTTTAAAAGCATAAATCATAAGATATGCAAAGTCAAACTCATTATTGGTTAAAAAAAAAGATGCAGACATTTGACTTCCAGCTGGTTGCCTTGTATTGTTTTAGTTATTCAAAGTCAGTAGGTCAGGTTTATATAAACCTCCAACAAATGGTCCCCAAGATCATCCCACACTGTCTTCCAGACCCAATCCTGTCTATCACTCTCTCTCTGTTCAGACAATGACACTGAATCTTGGCTTCAGGAAAAAAAGAAACACTTCAATTTAACAATTTTTCCTCTCCACTCTGTAACAACAACTCCAGTAAGAAGATATTTTCCAAGACATCCTTGAAATATCCTGTGCCACACTGTAGTCATCCTGCTGGCGAAAGGGAAATAGGCATTACCTGAGTCTGCTTCCCTACAGCTTTGAAAAATGTGCATGTCTGTGTTCCTAAAGCTGGTTCTCAGACACCAGGTCAGTGGCAGACAGTTTAGCTGGGCAGATCTGGGCAGTTATAAATAGTGACTCTGTTTGCGGCTGCCTCCCCATGCTGCTGCCAGAATCGCTCTGGGTCCTGGTGAGTTGTCCTGCCTGGGTGCAGCCAGATTTTGAAAAGTGCTGAGTTTTGGCACCAAAGATAGAAACAAATTAAATTTGAAGTCAGAAGGTGTCAAGTGCACAATGCTCATGTCTCCATACGTGTCGGGATGAAGCTGACCTAACAAGCTCTGCTGAGATGTGCAGTCACTGCTGCAATAGGGTAGCCAGGGAGCTCCGAGCAAGTGCAAAGAGCAGGCACATCAACTCACATCTGGCTGCAACTGATATGTCAGCTACCCTACCAATACATTTGCTCAGTCCACAGTTGATAAGACCTCTGAGGGGTAAATTTTTCTTTCAAAGCCCCATTTACCTCTCTAGCTTTTTAGAGACAGGAATAACTTGCATGTTCTTCCAGACCTCTGAAACGATAGAAACTATTTTAAGAAAGTTTCAAGTACACTTACTGATAAAAACAATTACACTAGTTATATGTCAGTCTGAATTTGGCTTACCAGATAATTTTGAGTTCAAGGAATTTTCACTGTTTTTTGTAGCCTTGTCCTCCATAACAAGTTTGATTGCACTATCCCTAAATTATAAATAGCAGATCAGTCACCAGCCTGGAGCAGCTTCCCTTTGACTAGTCTTGTCACCTCTTCTGTAACTTCTACGTAATTTTGCTAAATATTAAAAATAATTTACCCCTAGTGAAGTTTATGACTATTACCCCTTCTGCCAGAGATTACAGCATGTCAGTGTTGATAAGTGATAAATGGAAATATCTCACCCATTCATAGAGAGAAGTAAGAAAGATTTTTTCTTTGAAACAAAGTATTTCATACTTCTCCTTTTGATGATTCATGTGAGTAGGTAATGATAATGACTTCCTGTCTCTCCGCCCATCCATCCGCATTGAGACCAGAAGTCCATAAACAATAGAGACAATTGTCTGTGCTCATTCAGAGACAACATTAATCCCTTTCTTCTACACTGGGACTGATCTTAAAATAAAGCACTTCCTGGAGTGAGCAATGATACGGGATTCTGGTCTATATCACAAATCACATATTGTGAGGGGTTTCATGGCACTGAGTTGCTGTGTGTTCCTTCCGGATACTCCGTGCTGTATTGAGGAACCTGGCATGAATAAGCATGGTAGAGTCAATCTGTCTTACATTTAACTTATGTGCAGGGCTAATTTCACTTAAATGCAGCTCACTCTGTGGCAGGGAGTCACTAACTGAGCACTAACTAATAAATAATATGTACAGCTGAAACTGAGAGAATTTGGATTGGTTTTGTTATGAAGAATACAACTGGCTGTGGCAAAAGCACTACCAGTCTCTTATATAGATAAAAATTGTATTAGAGCTAGTAGATTCCTGCAAAATGTAACAGAGGGAAATAAAAAGTGAATCTTCTATTAAAATGTTTTTTTTCTGTTTGTTCCCTTAAGGTGCAAGTCCAAGGAATGACAGGGAACATCCAGTTTGACACCTATGGGCGGAGGACAAACTACACAATTGATGTGTATGAAATGAGAGCTGCTGGATCACGGAAGGTGAGTTTCAAGATACATATCCAAATTTCACAGCTTCACAAATATTTATTCCAACAAACTAATGGATCTCAAAAATGCCCCAGGTACTGTAATAAGAGGGTCCTGAGGATCCTCTTCTTCTTGCTGTCTTTCCAATAGCAGGAACCTTGTTCTACTCTGTTCCTAGACAAAACCATTCAGTCTGCTTAATTTCTTCATTGGTCTGCATGTCAACTTCAGACCCCACTTTTTCCCTTAAGACCCTTCTAGAGCATTTCCACTGCCAAGCATAATACCTTTTGTCATGGTCCTCTGCTCAGCCCTATCTCCTAAATTACTCTCCGTCTTTCCCTTCCTCTCCATAACAGGCCTCAGAGCCATAGTGAAGCTGGAGCCAGAGTATTTTAGAAACTTTCTGAAAATGACACAAAATTAGCTTGGTTTTTATTAGGATTTTCTACTCATTCTCTTGTCTCCTAAATAAAGTATAGTTCCTAAGTGGGATAGTAGCCTAGATCGCCACTATAAAAGAAATTTAGGGCAGATGTAAAAAAAAAACTTAGGTAGACAAGGTCTCAGAGGTATCGAGAGAAGAATCTGTGTGGCCAAGGCATGTATAAATCCCCCTGATTTCACCTGGCAATAGGTACCAAACCTGTTTAGTCACCTCTGAGACTCCTTAAAATCTTATGCACGTATTTGACAAATGACAAAATACCTGTGGGTATGGCCCAGCCATTCAGCTGGTTTTACACTGCAGACACAAGTGTTACTTCTGTGCTGTGCAGAAATACAAAAACTAGTGTAACAGCTTAGCAATGCAGCCACAGCACCATGAAGGTCAGCACAAGCCAGCTGACAAATAATCACCTCGTGCTCACACAGGGGTCTGTATCCCATACTTAAGATAATCCCTCTGTGCCTGCATTGTTCACAATGTCTGTGCATCCACTCTAAGCGGGCTCAGGCACATCTGGGGCAACTGTACTCACTGTCCAAACTGCAGCAGGATGTAGTTAAAAATTACAAAATCAAAGAATTTTACTCAGAGTGCTGTGCCATTTATGTATTTCTTTTTTCTGTGGTGTATTCTTATGCCATGGGCATGTGGGAATTTATTCTGCAGGCACGATGTGAATTTAGAAGGAGAATTTAATATGTATTTTCAGTTAGATTTCTTGTATTTCTTTGCAAGTGGGCTGGAGAACACAGCTTCTTTAAGGAAGTTAAATTAAAGCTAATGTAGTCCTTCAATGGCAAAAATGTTGCATGAAGTGTTACAAAGCCGTATGTTTTGACAATTCCTGTTTCAAGTTCATGTAGCAGAATCCTTATAAACGCATGTATTGAGGTAATGATCTCAATTTTTATAGGCTGGTTATTGGAACGAATATGAAAGATTTGTGCCAGCATTAGATCAGCTGCCCTCTAATGACAGTTCCTCTGTGGAGAACAGAACTATAGTAGTCACTACCATCTTGGTAAGTTTAATGTTCTTAGTGTATTTGTGTTTAGGAAACAAGACACGTGGCTCCTGAGGTGTGTTAGACACCTTGCCAGGAGGCAAATGCTAAATACTGTGTGACTTCAAGTGACTGAAAAGTTCAGTATCTTCCAGAGATGTTCTGAGGGCTTGACCCTACGAACTTCTATGTGTGTTGATAAGTTTACTCACAGGAGGAGCTCCCTGAGCTCAGCATTCTGCTTTGCTGCTTCTCAGACACTTGAACTCAACCCAGTGCTTCACATAAGTGAAGTTATTATGCATGTATGTAAATGACAGCAGGGTCTGGCCTTCCTGCTGTAGGGTCAAATCTCGCACCCCTCACTCAGGTGCAGCGCCTGTAAGCTCAAGCCCTGTCGACTGAGTAAGGGTGGCACAACGAAGCCTGTAGAGAACTGGAACTGCTCTAGCACTGGGTGAAGAGCGACCTACACCCGTGCAATTCCAAAGGAGTAAAGTTCTTCCCATGTCTGATAAACAGCAGCACCTGTGGCAGCCCCAATGCCTCTAGCAGATGTGCTCTGGACAGTATTGTTTGTGACTCTTATGCCTGTTTTGATTCTACTAAGCATGAGCCAATTTTATGCTATTTCTTGAAGCATTGTATTTTATATTCCTATGGATTGAGTGAGATATAATCAGCATTTCAGCTAGAATTTTCCAAGAAGGCTAAGGGAATTTAGTGACAAAAATTGCTGCTGAGGATTTTAGCCTAGTTTCCCTTAGGCTGCTTTGAAAATATCTCTGTCAGAGCCCCATTCTAGGCCACCAGGGCCTTAGGAAATTGTTTTGATGGTGCAGATGTTGGATATGTCAGTTCTTTAAAGACTAAAACCTGAACTATTACTACAGTGATGCTATTTGACTGTCGAATCAGGCCTAATCCTGCAAACAGAACTGTAATTTTGTTAAAGTAGAAAAGTCCTATTGTCTTCAATGAATCCATACTAGGAATAGTGTTATGTGTGGCTGTAAGATCAGCCAAGGGGTTTTAAACTGCTAAAGTCTGTCTGTCCAATTTCTGTACCAAATCAGGAAATACTGTAAATGCTTGCCAGTAATATAAAGGATAATAACAGCTCTCATTGTGTGTGTTTTAAAGCTGTATTTTACATTTATAGACTTTTGATCTTTACTTTTGTTTCAAAGGAATCACCATATGTAATGTATAAGAAAAACCATGAACAACTAGAAGGGAATGAGAGATATGAAGGATATTGTGTAGACTTAGCTTCTGAAATAGCAAAACATGTTGGAATAAAATACAAACTGTCAATTGTTGGAGATGGGAAATATGGAGCTAGGGACCCTGAGACTAAGATATGGAATGGCATGGTGGGTGAACTGGTCTATGGGGTAAGTTTCTCTTAACCTTCATTTTAATGTTCTTTATAACAAGTTATATGCAAAGTCAATAATCTGCAAAATAAAGATTGTCTGTTTGAATACCACCTTTAAAATTCTAGATATTTATTTGTAGTACCACTTTTATAGTCTACTTTTCTAATTGTTTCATTGCAGAAAAGTGTCACTTTTTTACTGCTGTTCTCCAAATCACAGTCCACAAAATGTTAAGAAGTGGCATTGGGCAAATATCAAATTGTTTGCAGCAGAATTTCCCATTTGCCCTTCATATGCTGCTTTTGCATTTGCCATGTTTCCTTTTTCTCTATTAGTCTTGTAAATGCTGGGAGGGTGTCCCTCCCATTAAAGGTCTGGTCCTTGAATCACTGTTGTCAGTTTGTGTTTAACCAGAGACTAAAGACTCAGCCCCATGGTTGCTTTTCAGGGTAAGAAGCAATGAAGGTGTGAAATTGACTGTATCTTTTTTTCTTTTTAAACTCTGGGTTTGGCTTTAAAAATCAACCATCAGACAAAAAAAAAAAAAAAGAAGTCCAATTAATTGCATTCCCCTTGATAATTCTGTATCGAGTGTGCATTGGTTTGCTCAGTAAGAAGTAAAACAGGAATTGTCATTTTAGAAAATTATTTTAAAATTAGAATTTTAGAATAAAGATAAACTAGATGGAAGGGGAGAAAATTGGCTTTGCAGAAAAGACTTTACAAGCTGATATTTCATCTTTGCATTTTTTTTTCCCCCAAATGCTAATAAGATGATTTTTTATTCCACCCAGATCTTCTCTATAGGTTATTTTTAACAAGCTTTCCTTTATTAAAATATCTGAGCAGAAGTGAGTATTTCCATTGCCTCCCTTTGTTCCATGGCTGAGTGTAGTTTCTAAAAGTCTCCTCAAAATTTCCTTGGCATAACATATCATTCTTGTAAAATGTTTGCTGAATAATTCTTTTAAAGTTATTACTAGATTTGCAAAAGTTTTCTTATTCTGGAGCAGCCACTCCTGATGTGGGGTTGTTTTTATACTCAGTAGCCTATTTGACTTGGAAATAGTTTATATAAGCAACAATGTTTTTTGTAGCATTGTATTAAGGAGAGGGGGAGATTGGAGAAGGTAAACAGCTCTGGATCCCTGGGTTGTATCTTTACTTCCTTGTTGCATATGCAAAAGGCATGACAAAAGAGAACCTGAAAATGCTGCTAACAGCCAAGGCACAGGGACTGTCTATGCCGGAGGACGAAAGGTGTGATATGGGTCACTGCCTCTGGGACTTGATCCAAATAAGATTAGTCTGTATGATTCAGGATCCATCAGGATAAAGGGACATAAAAATTATCTGAGGGCTGGAACATCTCTCCTATGAGGAAAGGCTGAGAGAGTTGGGGTTGTTCAGCCTGGAGGAGGCTCCAGGGAGACCTTATTGCAGCCTTTCCATACTTAAAGAGGGTTATAAAAAGGATGAGAACAGATCTTTAGCAGGGCCTGTTGCATCAGGACGAAGGGTAATGGTTTTAAACTAAAAGAGGGTAGATTTAGACTAGATCTAAGGATTTTTTTAAATTTTTTTTATGATGAGGGTAGTGAAACACTGGAAGAGGTTGCCAAGAGAGGTGGTAGATGGTCAAGGTTGGATGGGGCTCTGAGCAACCTGGTCTAGTTAAAGGTGTCCCTAACCATGGCATGTTGGACTATGTGACCTTTAAAGGTCCCTTCTAACCCAAACCATTTTATTATCCTGTGATAAACAGGTTGGCTGCAGCTGCCTTTTCCACAGTGCCTGGGAAAGAACTCAGCTCTGGTTCTGCCTCCTTAGCATTAAACTGATCCCTAACTTCTTCCCCACCATAACCTGTGACCTTTCCATACCTGCAAAAACCAGCCTCCCAGGCACCATAGACCATACCTTAAAACAACCCCACCATTGTAATTTTCCCCCTGAAAAAAAACTCTGCTCTTTTGTATTCTGATGCAGTTTTCATCTGTGTTTCATTAATGAAAAATTGAGGAAAGTTTCCCTCCCTGACCCCCAACAGCTCCTCTTCTCACACTGCAAGCTCAGTTACTGAGGCTTCTTCACTGCAGTGCTCAATTATTCAAAGGTCAGATGTGTCCCTGGGGGTTTGACTGTAGACCCAGGTTAATGCTTAGAGCCCAGCACTGCTGAGCCAGCTCCCCATCCTGCCGAGCTCAACTTCTGAGCTGGCAGGCTGCACAGAAATCCACCTGGCTTTCTGGAAGCAAGAAAAACAGCCTCTGAGTACAAACCTCACCAGGCCTTCAGACCCTTCCCCAGCCCAGCTTGCAAACATCATTAAATACCCTTGGCCCCTTTCTCCCTCTGTTGAGAGGAGGCTGTGTACCACAAGGATGTGCACAAAGCCCTTTGAAGATGAAAAGTGCTCTAGAAGTGCTAATTATTTGGAGCAAGCACCTCATTTATGTGCTGACTTTCCTTTATCTCTCAGGGGCTTAAAACTGTATTAGGGAACTAAAACTGTACTTTACCCCTAATGCCCTTGTGAGCCATGTCTACAAAATGACTGTCATATTTGGCGCCTCTGCATTCCATTTTGGGAAGACAAGAGGGAGATTAGTTTTTAAATGCCTTTATTAGCATGTACAGAAGATGGGCATGGAGAGATAAAAGGAGCCTGATTGGTTTTGGTCCCAGTTATCCAACAGCTGAACTGAGCTGTGGCAGAAAACACAATCTTTAAGATTGCATTTGTCTCAAATGATAAACAGGGACTGGTCACTTGTCAAATACAGCATATTCCTGACCCAGCAAGCTTCTCACCACCACCTGGCACTGCTGGGAAATCTTACCAGGCTTTCTGAATACTGTGCCCTTTCTTGCATAGCTCCATGCATACAACTCTTCTCTAAAATTGCTCGTAGGACAGTCATAGGAAGAGAAAGGCTTGTCACTTTAATGCCGAAACCCTAATTAACTCTAATTAATGTTTAGTTTGTGCCAGTTCATTGTCGCTCTTGCTTCCTGTGGGATGCAACATAGAGTCAGGAGAGAAAATGCAGCCAGGGCCATGTACCTCCAGACCAGAGCTTCAGGGGGCTGGGAATGGCAAGGAGGGATGGGAAGGGGCTCAGTGTGCACTGAGCTGTACCCAAAACCAGGGCTGCTGTGTCCCAGCACTGTGGGTCCTGAGGCTGACCAGCAAAGCCCTGATCCACTCTAAGAGACTAGCTGGAGGCCTGCACTGACTGGGCTAACCAGATCAGTCCCAAGTCACCCATTACCTGGGGACAGACACACTAAAATTTCCAAATGTTGGTGATAGTAGTAGTAATAATAGTAATATTAATAATTCTAAAATGTGACATAAAAATGAAATTAATTTGATTTTTTCTTAATCAAAAAACACCAAGTTGAAGAAAACATTAATGTTGCTCTTTCACTCTGATAGTGTCAAAATAAGACTCTTCTTCCTACCAGAAAAAGATCTACCAATTCAAGTGCTATTATTTTTTAAACTAAGAGAAATCTCTAAAGCATAGTGGAAACTTTTGGCAGAATAAAAACAGCAAATAGGTAAAGCTTTTTTCCCGCACATTTTAGAAAAGGGAAGTAGCTAAATCATTCTCACTCTGGGAGGCTGAATCACTATTTAAATCTAACCAGCAAAGCAAACCAGCAAGTCCTTTCCTCCAGTGATCCATCTGTGCCCCCCACTGCACCCACCCCACCAGCTGGACACTAGACAATTGTCTTTTCTCCTCTGTAGGGTGAGCCTCTTTCTGTAGACTTTAAATTCTTCTTTCCCTTTTAAAGCAGGCTGCTGTTCTTCCTTCACTGTTCAGCCTTCTCTCCCTGGGCCTGATGCTTTTCACACTGCTGAGACTAATTGACAGTAGGTTTAACATAGATCTTAATTGTAACTACAGATGCTTTGGGAGTGGAAAGAGCAGTCAGACCTTACAGGCTTTAAAACTCTCCTCAGGTAAAAAAGGGTCTTTATACAAATCTTTCAGTATGTAAATTAGCATAAAGGACTGAAGCAGGGATGTGAAGGACAGCCAGTCCCCTGAACACAGGCAGCCGCTGTAGCCTGTCAGAGTGGGACCACCTACACATCTCCCAGCCTTTAGCAGACTAACCAGCCTCACGTGTTGCTGGCCTCTCTGGCTCTCCCAGCAGCAGCAGAAAGATCAGGGATGGCATATACAGCCTTTGAATCTCAGGAGAGATGGAAACTAATTTGATTCCAAGTTCTCCTCAAAACATCCCATGTGCATTTAGTCTGTGTCGCTGCCCGAGTGTGCCGTGAGCAGAAGCAGCTCGCCCTTCTCCCCAAACCCCTGGTTTCTAGAGGGAAGCCCAGGTGCAGGTGCCCAGAGGCAGCCATGTGGTGCCTCATCCTGTACCCACAGAGAGGGATGTGGGGTCCCTGCCCAGGCAGGTGGCCCCTGCCTGCAGCCCTGGCTCAGAGTCTCGCTGACCTGGTCCCAGACCTCGGCTGACCTGCATCTGAGCACACACGAGGAAACACACATATGTCCTCAGCTCACAAAGCAGATGTACCCTGAATTTCTCCATCTGCATCCAGTAGCAGTGCCTCAGGAGCTGTGGGCACCCACATAAAGCATGTGTGGACTTCACATTGACAAACTGCAGCAGACAAGGCCAGCTACAGTTTTAACACCTTAATACTGCTCACCTAATACACTTGAAGACTTCAATGCAGCATGTTGCTTGTCAGACATCAGTTGTTTTTAAGTAAGTGTGAGCTGATGTGTTAAAAACACATTGCCCTATGATTTGGCCTCTCAAAACACCCTGATATCCTTGGGTACACTAGACTCTCTTTGCAAGTTAGCTTTTGTCAGCTGATACCACAGGTGATGTGTTGCTCTGTCTGACACCCTTTTCTGCTACCTGGAAACCTCAGACCTCACTGAGAAATTCTAAAATGTGCTCAGAGTCAGTTGTCATTCCAGCAGTTTCTTCTAATGCTGCTGTGCACCTGCATTCAGCACTTCTGGGGTGCCTGGAGGTTTGGCTCCCAGTGGAAATGGGGCAGTGTCCCCCTGCTCCAGGCTGCTCATGGTCTGAGTACTGGCTGACTTCCCAGCACACAAAGGTCTTGGCAAAGTGTCTGTAGCCCCAACCCACTTCTTGAAAAGCAACAGGCTAGCAAAGGAATTGTTCAGTTCTGCAAGCATGAGTGACCAGAAGGATGTACAGAGAGGAGCAGAGCTGGTATCTCCTGCTATCACTAGTGCATGACTTTGAAGTCAGAAGGACTCCATAAGGTCCATAAGTAGAAGTCAGTCCCTCCTTTTGGAGGACAGAGGTGGAACGTCCTATCGTTTTTCTTTCTCTGTGTAGAGGGATATTTGCATTTGCTATTTTTTTCTCCCTTCTCTTAAGAGCTTTGAGGTTTGCAGCTCCCCAGGGTCAGCTTTGAGAGAGTGGGTAGTGCCTCTGTGCTGCATGTCCTCTCTAAATCCCTCCCTCCCACACTAGCAGGCAAAGGCAGAACAAGCCTCAGAGGAATCCATGACATTTCTCGCCTGGCTCAAATGCAGTGAAGATGATGTTTGAAACGCCATTAGTCATGAGTGATTAGCAAAGCTTAGTTATTGAGGTTCTTAAACCCCCCTCCAGTTCTGCACAGGGAAGGACATGTTTGTGGTTGTGTTCTTTTTAATCGAGCTCAATTTTTATGGGTTCTGCTTATCTGCAGCCATAAGAGGGAGGGAAATTCACAACTGTGCTGCAATTATTAATGATCCTTTAGGGTGCTTAGCGCTCTCCATAAGCTCTCCATTTCAACTGCTAGATCTCTAAATAAATAAGCAAAGTGCAGTGTGGGTTTTAACCTCTCTAATGCAACTAATATCCAGGGTGGGGAACCAGGCTCAGGTGCTGGATTGTAGCTGGACCCCTCTCAGTGCCCTGATTGTTGATGGTTTCCTGAGACCCTGTGTCTGAACCCACACTTGTTCCCTCTGCAAACAATTTCTACCATATTCATTTAAGGCATGAGGGTGTTTGTTGGTGTTTCCAATGTACTGAATGCCTATAAAAAATGGTAGGAAAGCAGGAAGACAGGAATGTATCAGAAAAATAAATATGAGTATTCTTTGTAATATTAAAATGCAATTTTAAATAATTTACTAAGAAATCCATACTGTATGATATGAATGAGGACATGGTAACAATCAGGCTTTTAAAACCTAATTTGTCTGTGCTTCAGCACAGTACCAGTTTCATCCCCACTAAGGCCCCACAGGAACATTGTGGGTGAACTCAGCTGTTCATGAAGGAGAGACAGACTTTATTGCATGCTGCATCAGCACTTAGGAAGAGCTCCACCATGTCTACTTTGGCAATTAAAATATTACTTTGGGAGAATTAAATTTCTCCAAGTCCAGGAAAATGCTACAGAAAGCAAATGCTCTTAGAGCTGAACCAGCCTTTTCCTACTTTGATGGGCTGCTCCAGGGCTGACTGTCCATGTGCAAAAGTGCTGGGCAGTCAGGAACCTGCCTCCCATGTAAGCTTCACTTTGTGTGGAGCCACTGTGAGGTCTCTGCAGGGGTCCTGATCCATTAAGCTTGCTCTAATAAGGATTAATTTGTAAGTACCTCATTAGTTCAACACAAAGTAAAGTAGCCATGGTCAAAGTGCTTAGTCTTCCAGCCAGCCATGGATTCTGACTGTTTAAAACTGATGCTCTGTGTGCATCTCATGCTTACTGACTAGAGACATCTAATATTTAACAGTAGCTCAACAAGCAGTAACTACAAAACAAATGTATGTTTTGGGGGAATTTTCAGTGAACAAGTTCCAGCATCATCCAGTCTCTTTACCCCACTCTGCCCGTGTCCCCCCAAGTCTCTCTGTTTTGTAGATGGCTTCACACACTCCCTGGAAAGCCAGCAAACGGGCATCCAAAGGCAGGTGGCATTTTCTGTTCTTACATTCGAGCCACATTAAGCTAGATTTTTTGCAGTAGGTGACCACAAATCAGGTGAGGGTTTTCTCCTTGAGAAAACCAGTCACTCAAGGGGAAAGGCAATGCCCTTGTGTGGCTGAATGTCTAAAGGAGATGAGGAGGCCTGGGAGAGGGGACATCGAGGGCCATGGTTTCTGATTGGCTTCCGTACATGCCCAGGTGTGTTTTATCTGATTATTCCAAGCAGTGAACTTGTACTTTGTAGGTGCATACACCAGTGCAAACTGGTGGGGGAGATTCCTGAATGGCTGGAGCAAATCCAGAGCCCGTGTGTGCAGGCAGGTACTCCCCAGAGGGCAGATTGAGGCAGGACAGGCTGTAGAGAGCCAGTCCTTGGCCCGGCAGGTCTGCCCTCAGTCTTAGCCTTAAAACCCCCCGAAGGTGCCTGGAGCCACCAACTCCACAGGGCTTGAGATAGATACTGAGGGTTTCCCTATGAGAAGCCTTCACCATTTCTGCTCGTTAAACTGAAACCAGCTATCTCAGAGGAGGAACAAATCAGATATTGATGAAAGTCACAGACGTCGCCATCAGATTTACATTAAGGCATATTCAGTTATTTTATGGCATAGATTTTAATCACTTCTTATTAACATTTCCTATTAACTTTTATTCAAACTTCTGCTTAATTACGTTTAAATTTTTTTCAGAAAGAGAGACATACTTATTAGTGGGAAACAAAAATCTGATTTAAAAGGTGCACAGTGGTTTGGTACTGGGCAGACTTCATCTATGAATGATTTTTTCTTTCTGAAATTCTTAATTACCAGCAAAAGGTCATCTTTAAAAGTACCAATACCACAAATATATAGAGTGCTTAAAATAGAAGATTACAAAAAAGTGTATGTAGGTATGTAGACTCCCATAACAATTTTTAAATGAAAAGGGTCTTTTTTTTTCAATATTCTAGTCCCCTCCATTGCAAATTCTGACACCTGCTTGAATGTATTGCTGAGTCAAGTATAGTTTATCTGAACAGAAAAACTTGAATCTTTATGGCATAGAAATACAGATACAATTAAATATGTTGAAAATCTATTCTGGAATGTTATTTTTAACTGAGTTACTAAGTGTTTTGTTTTTTTACTTCACATTCTTACCCTCCCATGGAAGCCAGCAAAGGTGTATTGATTGAAGGGAAAGGTATTGATTGGTTCAGGCTGCACCAACACTCTGATGAATGACAGATGCAATGAGATGAAATTGTGCTTCTGGATGACACAGCCCCAGAGCATGGTCTGTGTTGCAGATTTATAGAGCTCAGACCTGTAAATGGCATATGCTATACTGAAAAACACTACTCTGCATTCTTCTCAGATAACCCAGGCTATTTACTTCTCAGGGACTCTCAGATCTCTATTACTGTTCTTCAGTGACCACAGAAAGGGTGGGCTGCCTGGTTCCTATCACCTCACTATTTTACCACCTATTATCCCTTATTGCAGTGGGGCTTCAAAGGAGCATGAGCAGTAACACTCAAAACCAGCTGAAATTCAGGGACTGATTAATTCTCTTAGGTTCTTTTTAAAGATCTTGGACTAATTAGTAAGTCAAGAGAACTTGCTAAAAGAAGGGAAAAAATTAAAATATAGCAAACACAGAATTTGCCCAAAGTCTTCAGGACAGATGGATACAGGCCATTACTAGAAAATGACGTTGTTTTAGTTGCTATCTCACTGTCCAGTTTGCATAGTCTTTATTCATCCTTTTTGACTTAGTAGAAACTTAAATACATGTTGGTATGTATCTGCCTGTGTCATGAGGCCCTTGCACAGATTTGACTGTAATTTTTCTTGTTAATAACTTTCTACCAATATCATGTAGTCCTTCAGTGACTGCAAAATAGGCTGCAAGAAAAATGTTTCCTACTGACTCTTGTCATTTATCATCTAATTCATTAGTCTGAGACTCTTAGATTGTGATTATGTTGCAACTGTTCTGTAACTAACTTGAGTTTGTTTTCCCTTTTCAGAGAGCAGATATAGCTGTTGCCCCCCTCACCATAACGTTGGTGCGAGAAGAAGTCATAGACTTTTCCAAGCCCTTTATGAGCCTGGGCATCTCCATCATGATCAAGAAGCCTCAGAAATCTAAACCAGGCGTATTCTCTTTCCTGGATCCTTTGGCTTATGAAATTTGGATGTGTATAGTCTTTGCTTACATTGGCGTCAGCGTAGTTCTTTTCCTAGTCAGCAGATTCAGCCCTTATGAATGGCACTTGGAAGACAGCAATGAAGAACCTCGTGACCCTCAGAATCCTCCCGACCCTCCAAATGAGTTTGGAATATTTAACAGCCTTTGGTTTTCCCTGGGTGCCTTTATGCAGCAAGGATGCGATATTTCTCCAAGGTTTGTTCCATATCACTCCATCACCTTTTTGCATTTTATGGGCATTTTATGATGCCATGGTGCATATATGTTTCTTTCTCAAATTTCTTTTAATTCCAACTTTTTCTTTTTTTTTTTTTGACATTCCATTCAATGCCAAGCATCATCATCAAGCCACCATGCTTGCTAACCTTCACCTTCAGAGTGAGCAGCATTGCCTTATGATGCCATGTATGCATTTCTGCCGAACTTATATACACCATGTTGAGGCTGTAAAATGCATAAGGTTTCCACTTTTCTGCAATGCTTGGAGGGCTACCGTGTTTTTGCTGCATATCTCATTTTACGGTCATCTCCTTGGTGCATATGACATAATCTGCTTTGCAAAATATTTTTAAAAGCCACATGCAACAGCACTTTAAATGCCCTCCACTCCAGTCATGGCTTCTGCTAGTCTTTTTACTTTCTTTTGTGCCTAATTTTTCTAGTTTTGTTCTTCTTGAGCCATCCTTTCATGTACTACTAATTTCTTTGCTACTGTCTTTCACCTGTTCAGGTCTCCTTGTGTGCTCCTTTAACAGTTACCGTGCTCTGCCCTATATGTGTCTCATTATCTCAGTCCAGTTTAATCTGTTGTCCCTGTGTTCATAGTCAATGTGGTCTAATAAGCATTGCCAGTTTCCATAAAGATTTTCTTATTTATGAAGATAGTCTTTCTGAATAAGGCTGAAGTAAAACATGTTTGATATTAGTTGCAGTTTAGCAGATTGCACTGGTATTAATTATTGTAGGATTATGTTTGGTTTTTTAAAGAAGCATTTTGAAAACCACCTGAGAACAGTGAAGTTCTCTCTAATCTAATAATCCATGCCACAAATGTTTTTTTAATTATATATATAATGTTTCTGCATTTACAGTGGTAAAATACTTTGGTGATGTGCCTGTGATAAGCAGTAAAATTATCTGTTTTCTTAGTGATGAAGTTATATTTTGGTTATATTTTGTATGACAATATTTTAATAACCAGCTCTTTTAATTATTTAAAATACCCACTTAGTGCAAACAGGATGCAGTTTTTCCCTTTAATGAGGTTGTTAATTAAAGCTGGGAAGACAGATCTTTTCTAACTAAGCACTTATATTTGAAATACAATTTGTTAATCTCCATGTCTATGCATCTTTTTCAATATCTGAATTGTTGAAAAGCAACCAGGTTTTCCTAATCTATATTATGGTAGGGATCTTGAGTAGCCTCACTGAAGCAAGTGGCAAAACTGTCAAGTTTCATGGAAAGGATCATGATTTTACCTGTTATAATGTAATAATGATCCTTCAAGTTCAGTCATTGCACATTCAGATTCCCAAATGGTCACAGCAAAATCCAGGACTTTCAGAGATCCTGGCGTATGCCTCTTGGTATTTGTTGCAAGTCATGGCCATGTTATAGAAGTCTTGATAGCAGCAATTAGATGTCACACTTATTGACAGATGCTTATATATGGTACGTAGAACATGCACACAGTTGTGCCTGGGTATGACTATGAGTTAGGTTTTGCAGTTACCAGTGTCTGGCTCTGCTCCTCACTGTGCAGTTACAGCTCTTAGCCTTCCCCTCCTGTTTATATACTTTGTTTCTGTTTTATTCCTAAATTCTGTATTGAAACTTTGCCTCTCTGCTTGCTGTTAAAGCTGATGAGTAGTTTACATTTAAATTGCTGTTGACCATGTGTGTGCCCAATACAAAGGACCGGGAAATAAGCACTGGGAAATCACATGGAAAGCTGCAGGCATTGCACTGTTCCACTAGGCCTGGTTATTGACAGTTAAATAGAAGTGCATAGGATTTTTGTTAAGCTCCCATGTGACTCTTTGACAGGTTCAGCCATTTACCTTATATAACGAGTGAAACACATGCTATTTTTTTTCAGTATTACCATGATAAGTGCCTTGGAAATACCTACCAAAAGAAAAAAAAAAGAGAGAGAGAGATGGCAGTAAACCTATCTGTTTTCTCCATCCATCAGAAGCTTTTAGCTCAGTATTAATATATGGCCTGTGTTTGAAGACATAGTCCAGTTATTTTGTTATCTTTCATGATAACAGATTCCAGGCAGTTACATATATTATTTCTGAGAAAACAACAACAAAAGAAAATAAAAATAAAAAATTAAGACCTTGGTTTAGATTCCAGAAACACTGTTCCTTTGACCAGCATGTTGATTTAAGTTGATTAAATGTCAAATTTCCATAGAAGGGACTATTCCCAAGTATTCCACTCTGAACCCGTGTCTTTGTAAGGTTGCACCATTCACAGTACATTGACTATATGAATGTTTCACACTCTTTTATTGCCATTAAAAGGGGCTTCATTCTTCCATTGTGAGTTTTGTCTGAATAAATTTCTTATATGAGAGCGAACAGCACTTGTAGAGAGATGCCGACAAGCAGTCTGGAGAGATCACTTTTGTACTTGCTGATAAAGGCTCTTTCAGCTGCCTTTGTGTGGAACAGCTGTGACATCTAATGACTAGTTAGATCTATCCTCGGTGAGTATGCTGTGTGGATATTCCAGAGGATATATCCCTATACTCTCCTCTCTGTATTTAATAGGAGTCGTCTAAACAGAATCAGATAGTGGCCAAAGGATGGGGTTTAGTGCATCCCTTGATGCAATCAACATTTGTTCCAGCAGTTTTGTTCTGCTATCAAAGGCAAAGGCTGCTGTGTTTTCTGCATAGTGAGCTAAGGCATTGAAAATTCACTTTTGATGGATCAAAAGTAATTATTAAACTTGCTTTAATGTAAGATGTGTACAGCAAATGGCATCAGGAGAAAACACAGTCAAATCTGTAATACTGTTCTGAGCTATCTTTGAAATCTCTGTGAGAGCATGTATTTTCATTTTGCTCTTTATTCTTGCAGAAAAAAGAGGCTAGATTAATTAATTGCTGATGGAAAAAGACAGGGGGTTCATAAAAAATTATCTCATGAGATTGGTCATTTAGGAGGGCATATTTCTAGCTCCCTATTTGCACAGCAGAAGACTCAAGAGACTCCTATTAAAGTCCATGGGAATGACTTTGTGGGACTTTCAAAACAGCACTGAGAGCTGGGTAACTAGGTACTGCTGAAACTCCCACTGCCAGTTCCTATGATGGAAGCATCTTTGGATGCTGTGAGTTCCCATGTTGTGTCTCAGCAGCCAAGGCGAGGGCCGGCTGGCGGCACCGGGCGGGCAGGAGAGGTGGAGGGCTGGTTCTGGGCATGTGAGCCAGGGCTGGAGCTCAGTGGGGACCAGGTAATGTGTGCTCAGAATATGAAGGGGTTCCAGGCAAGGAGAGTTTGTACCGAGGCTGTTCAGGGTTATTTGTTAATATAACAGCTGTCTTGTGTTGATCAGAAGAGCCTGATTAAAAATGGAGTAGTTCGAGAAGCTTATTGCTTCTATGTACTACAGGAAATCACATATGTTTTGTAGCCATGAGTAGAAACAACATTCAAGCTATTTTGATAAAGAAATGAGATTTTGTTTGAATGTGTTATTCTCCTGGAAACTGAATGTGAATTTGAGTGTTTGTTTTTTCCTTGTTACTAACTTGCTCTCATTTGACTTCATGCTTCCTTTTAAATTTCCTCTCAAGGTATGCACTCTTCTTGTTTACTTCCTTTCAAAAATACCATCTGACCTTGTTTCAATAATTGAGTTATAATTTTGTTAATCCAGGTCTTCATTACTCCTCTAATTTGTTAACATGCTAGTTCACTTTAAAATAATGTCATGCAAAGTATCTATTTGTTGAGGTAATTTGGAAAATGACATGTTTGGATCAAGCATTAGTTTGTTTTTACATTACTGCGCACTTGGACAGGTATGTCTTAATCAGAAAAAGTGGTGCTGGTATTAAAAGCTGTGATTTATTTTTTCTATAATTGACATTTCTATAATTGACTGAGTACTGGACAAATATATATGGGGTTCATAGTACAAACAATGCAAGTCTTCACTTCTCTCCAGCCAGGCTTTTATGTACTAACCCTTTTTTTCTCCTGTGTCCCTCTACACTAGCCCCTGCAGTGGGTATAAGGAGTCTTCATATCAGCAGATGGACTGGGGGGAACTGGGGTCCTTTGGATAAGGAGGCTGCCAAGCCGTGCTCATCTGTGTTCTTCTTTGACTCTGTTTGTCTGTCTTTCCTTCAGTGTCAGCTTTATGCTTCATTTGGTTTTTCTTTTGCCCCATTCTGTGCTACCACCAATTGCAGCTACATCAGCCCAGCCTGCTTTGTAGTAGCAGCTGCATCATCTTCCTTTCTGTCCTCATTGGAAGGCTCTGGGAGAAACAACTCTGTAGTGACATCTGGTTTTCTTCTAAGTGACCTCAACTGTTCTGAGAACAGCTCCAGACCTCATTTAGCAAAACCCCTCTCTTGCATGTAGGACCCCTAAGGAAGTGTTTTCTTCATCAAGGGATTCAGCCATGCCCCCCTTCCCCTCCCTCTTCTCCATTTTTTTCCTGTATCTGTCTGACTTAGTTCACGCAGGTTGCAACATCTCTGGGGCAAGGTATTTTTGCCTTTCTCTGTGTGTAAAATGCTGTATGAGCATGCAGCTCGTTATTGTTACAGCAGTGTGAGCTTGAGGATTTCACTGGTTTGGAAAATGCTTGTCTTCTGCACATGTGCATCCCAACAACCCATCTATTCTGCTAACAGAAGGGGCAACCATCAGTTTGCATCAGAGATTTCCCATGGGAAACTATAGGGAGAATGAATACATACTGTTTTGTTCCAAATAGTTACACTGAATTTATCTAAACACCCTGGCAAATCTGGTTTTCATCTTCCTATTTCAAGACCTGCTGTAAAGCAAGATGACCACAGGAACCTGAAATCCCAGATAAAGCTCACCTTGCTGAATGCAAGTGGATGGTTCATCTGCTGGACCCATGAGCCAGACTTCTGATCAGCCTGGCTCTGAGACTACCCACCCTGCTGCAGGAAGGAGGAATTCAACTCCAGGTCTTCTCTGAAGATGGAAAGTATGTAGGGAAGGAATGAACAAAAGGGAGATGAATGTCACCTGATGTAGACATCTCAAAAGCAATAGGCTGTGTTTTAGTTAGGCATCTCAGTTCACTCTGAAGTCATGAGGCAGATGGGCACCTTCAGACTTATCCCACGCTACAGCAAGTGAGCTAAATCTCTTTCTGAGGGTGTCTATCTCCTCTATTTCTCTCTGATGGCTCCAAAGGGAGCCCTGTGTGACAAGTTCAGCCAGCACTGCTTTGCACTTAGCTAAAATTATGTCAGCCTGTATAACAGGCTGATTCAGTGTGTAGGGTATTGAGTTTTACAAAGCAGCTAAAGCCAATATCCTGGCTGGTAAGGGCCAGAAAGGACTTCAACCATCTGTAAAATCCCAAGATACTCACTTGATATCTACAAAGAATGTAGCATGAGGTAGAGAGATTCCTTACTTTCCACATTATTCTGGATTTATCTTTCTTCAATTTACCCTTGCAGCTACATAGTACCCTTCTGTTAGTGAGCACAGCTTCAGATAACCTAGGTTGAAACTTGTAAGTCTTTTACCCTCTTGGGAGGCCCTCAAAAAAGGCTGGGCAGCCTCCTCCACTTGGTGCCCAAGGAAGCACAGGCAGGCCAGAAAGTTGGCAGTGTCTCTGAGTTCACACCTCCAAAATCATTGCTTCCTGATAGACAAAGAGGTGAGAGTTCACTCCTCAAGCTTCCCTGAACTTTGTAACCACTGGAACTACCTTGTGCTTTGGTACAGGCTGGATGTAGCAGTCTCTGGGATGCCATGGTACTGGCACAGGGTGCACACTGTAACCCATAGGAACCAGCCTCATCTGCCCTCTCGGTGGGAGCTGCTGCTTGTTTCTTGGGCGGAGGAGAGTGGAGAATAGCAGTGCTTCACCTCTTGGTGTTTCTCCACATTCCTCTAGCCTGTTCCAGATTGTTCTGTTTTTATTGTGTGGACAAGTTTTTTTCTTTCTTTGGTGTGTTTATTAATGTTGGATTGATTTTATTTTTCCTTTCTCTTTTTTGTTAATAATCCAATGGGATTTTTTCAATGGCTCAGGCAACCTCAGGCTCTGGCCAAGTCCAGGCAGTTTACCAGTGAACCTCCTTATGTGGGCAGGGTGGGGGCACGTCACAAGACATTTGCTTTTTTCCTGTCTCCATCTGTTGGTAGAACAACTTGTACCCACTGTCTGGGGATGGCACAGAGGGGCTTGAAGGAAACAAACAAGCAGGTAAGAGTTTTCTTGTTTCTGTTTCTTCCCTTCACACAAACTAAGGACTACATTACCCAGGTTCCACAGATTTAATGTACCTGGGTTTGATTTCTTCCTTCACTGGTACAGCAGAGTTAAAGGAAAACATATGAAATACCTTTGTCTCATCTCCTGAAATGATTTGTGATCAACATGTTGTGTTTGAGGAACGAGCCCTGTACGTAGGGATGAAATTCCCCACCCAGCTGAGCAGTGTGGCAGTTGCACCCTTTGACCCTGAACAGATATTTTGAGCCTGATGTCCAATTGTTTTAAAGCCTCAAAGAGCTCTTACTGACAGGATCTGGACCTCCTGACCACTAGGCATTTTATAATTATATATTTGCAAATAGGCTTTTTTTCTTTTAATTCTTACGGTATCCTTTAAAAAACAAAGAGCCACAAGAAAGACAAAAAACAATTAAGTTTTTTTCTGCTTTCTTCTCTCTTGCTGTGGTTGTTATAAAGCAAGAATGCACTTTGCTTGGAACAGTGAAACATGCACATTTTAATTAACATAAACCATAAACTAAAGCAGCCTCCCTCCTCACTTCAATGCGTAGATTCAGTCTGTAATTCCTGCTAGGTTGTGATGACAGGACACTGGATCATTTTTATTTTGTCCCTTTGCATGTGTACTCTGATTCCTTTTTGCAGTTTTCTACATCTCAGGTTTTGAGAGATGATGCAGGAAAAGGTACATTCATGTCCTTCAAACTGGGCAGCCCCTAAAGAGCCACAATGCCGGTGTATCACAGCCAGCACATCCAGTCTCAGGTTGAGGCTGGGGAGGCCAAGAAGACAAAAGTCTTCTCCAGCAAAGGGTCTGTGGAATTCAGAAAAGTTCATTTGTCTCCAGTCCTCTGATGGAGTTGGCTCAGATGAATTATTTCTTAATTGACTATCCTTGTTTTCACTGAAAGACTGGAGAGTTTAACTGGGTAAAACCAGGTGCACATCAACTTTGCTCTCCTGAGATGGGCTTTCAGGAATTGGCTCACAGATACCTGGAGGATCTGGACAAAAGAGTTGTGCATGTGGATTTCTCTTCAATGGAAAAAAAATATGTATCAAGGAATGTCTACCAAGCAATTTGATGATGTGTGTTTTTCCATAGATCTCTCTCAGGGCGAATTGTCGGAGGAGTCTGGTGGTTCTTCACTCTCATCATTATCTCTTCCTACACTGCTAATCTTGCTGCCTTCCTCACGGTGGAAAGGATGGTTTCTCCCATAGAGAGCGCAGAGGACCTGGCGAAGCAAACCGAAATAGCCTATGGCACTTTGGATTCAGGCTCAACCAAAGAATTCTTTAGAGTAAGTCCGTTAAATATCCGTTAGAGCTTTTCTAAACTGTAAATGCCTAATACATGGTTTTCAGTTGTTTGTTTTTACCCAACCATAATAGCTGTTCTGGTGAAAGCTGCTCTGTGCAATCAGGACAGGCCTCAGTGCTGATTTTAATATCAAAAGGCATTTTGTCAAAAATGGGTGGCTTTGTTTAACCTGAAACATATGAAGATAGAAAACCTGACCTCTGCTATCATGGGAAGGGGTTTTTAACACCAGTTTCAGAACCTCAGTCTGATGTGCAATGATATAGTTGTTCACACAATATTTAGCAAACAAAACTCTCAGAGGAGCGATGCTCTTGACCTACTTGCTCTGGTTGCCCAGCTGGCAGCCCTTAATGCCATCCGACATCGGCGTCCACTTGCCAGAATGGGAAGGGGGATGGGAGGCATGTGTTGGTATTGGTTTCTATAGGGTGCAGAGATTGCTGCAGTTGTTGTTGCTTGGTCTCCATTGCTCACCATTGCCTGGCTGGGGCTGTATCAAGCAGTCAAGGGTGAAATGTTTGTACCCCAGGTCACTGGTGTGTATTCACCTTGGTTAGGGCAATGCTGGGTTTGCAGTATTTGTGGGTAGGGGAGAGGATACACTTTTACTTAAGAGTGCCCATCCTTTCTCCACTTGCCAGGCCACAAGCTGAACTGCAGAGATTTTGCTGAGCGTCATTAAATACTCTACATATGACCTCAGACCACATTTATGTATCTAAAAATGTTACGATCTGAAAAGCTCTTATTTCTGACCTTTCCGAGGGTGAACTGAAATGTGCAGCCCTTCCAGGGGGCTCTTGGTTCTCTCTCAGCAGTGCCAATCAGATGCCATTCGAACCAACATTTTTTTGTATAGAAAAGTGGTCAGTGCTGCAGGACTAATTATTGCCTGTCTCATGTACTGGCCAGGTGCAAGTGGGAGGGAGGAGGGAGGAGGAAGCAAAAGAAAGGACTCTTGCTGCTGTAGGCTGATGAAATACTGAGAGCTCCTTCAAGTAATATTAGAGGCTCCTAGAATTTGCTTAAAATTTCAATACACAATCACACACACACTTCCATGTATGTATAAATCTGTTGTAAAGCTGGAATTGAGTGCAGAGGTATGTTTTATGAAGCTTTGGTACTCTGCTTGACTTATATGTGATGTCTTTATATAAAAATAGATAGTGGCTCTTAATTAGCTGTGGTGGCTGGTACGTCACAGTGGCTTCTGTTTTTTTCAAAATCCTGTAAGATAAACACTGACCTTGTAAGGGTGATATAAGTGTCTCAAAATTTGTGTTCTGATTAATTATAGCCTAAGGCAAAACGAGCTGAGAAGACCTGTCAGAAGTGGTAGCACAACTTGATTAGAAATATTGGTGCAGTTTACAGTCACTGTACTGTTCTTAGGGGAAAAAAAAAATCTTCTGTTGAATATCTTGTTACCATTAATACAGAAGGAGGGATTGTATGGGGGTGTTTCTTCATTTCCTTAATAGTTTGACATAACAAGGAAATCCCTTCTCACCAAGTGATCAAAGGAATGAGTGTTTCGTGTGAAAGGATACAAGGTCTAGTAAATGTATGAATACTTTGTTGTGCTGTTAATAGTCTTGAGATGAGCTGTGACTCTCTCCTGGTGCTGGAGAAAGCGGGGCTGTAAATGAGGATGATCTGTCAGGAGCTGGCAGCTCCAGCAGAAAGGGAGAGGAGTGGGATGGGGAAGGAGAGCAGGGCCCCAGCAGTGGTGTAGCAGGGCATAATGACTCCTCTGGGCCATGCAGATGGACCAAGTGAGAGAGAGAATGGGCCCTAAGTGGTGCTTCACTCTCCTCAGCATTCTCAAGGCACACAACATAATTTCAGTTGTATTAACTTTTGCAGAGTAATTAATTTGAATAGAGTGGTGCAGCCATGCAACTGTTGTAATTAGAGTCTTCTTCAGTTGATTTGAGAAGGGCAAAAGCTTTGCCTTAGATTAAATGCATATGTTCACATAAATACTTCATTGTACAGTCTTTATTAGCTACTTAATAAGATGGTAATGATGGCTGGATCTTGAAATAACTCTTAGAGGACACTTGGTTTCTGAATGCCTGCTGCACAGGCTCTGCCTGCTCTGTGTGCCTTGGGATGCTTTTCTCCCTGTAGGTGCTTTCCTCACTACTCTGTGAGTGTTGGTGGGAGTGACAGTGGTCTGAGTCAGGAAAAGCCATGAGTTCTCCTGGGTACAGTGTGGTTTATTCCCTCTGTGAGGGTAATATACTCCTCTGCCCTTTCCCCATCAGCATTTAACCAGTTTAAGCAACAGCTGGCTGAGTGGGTCTGTATCATCTACCCAGTGAGAAAGGAAGCTTCTACCTGAGGTGATGGCTACATGAGCAAGTTAGTGCAATTCTTGCTTACACAGGTTGCCCATGTGTATGGCTGTGGCAGGTGAGAGGTAGCTGAATCTTCCCTGGAGATGGGAGAAGTCATCTGGCTGTGAGCAGGATGTCAGCACGTGTGTAGAGGCACCAAGAATAGTAACTTGGCTTTGTAGCTGGGCCGTGACTTTGCATGGGAGGCACAGGATAGTCTCTTCAAGATCTTGTATGGATATGTCTCTTCCTAGAGCTGTAAAGCTAAAACATTTCTAGAACAAAGACACTGGAACAGGTTGCCCAGAGGAGTTGTGGATGTGCCCTCCCTAAAGTGTTCAGGGTCAGGTTGGATGGGATTTTGAGGAACCTGGTCTAGTGGGAGATGTCCCTGCCCATGGGAGGGGGCAGGATGCCCATGGGAGGGGATGGAGCCAGAGGATCCTTAAGGTCCCTTCCAACCCAAACCATTCCAGGATTCTGTGATTCTGTATCAGTCAGATAATGATCCTAATAGCTGCTGTTGGCCAGTGAAAGGTGCCAGACTGAAAACAGCAAGGAAAAATTACCTCCTAGTGTATCATAAAGGGATGACACTTCAACTATCCACCATCTTGTCTGTGTGTGCTAGAAGGTGCTTCTTTGGAGCCTTCAGTCCATGGCTCCTTTCTGCCAACCCCATTTCCAACTAGGAATACTTTTAAAGGTTTCTTTTACAGTGTAGATACCTATCTGGTAGGAACTGGAACAAAAGCAGCACTTCATTTCAGATGAACAGATGGTAATGACTTTCAGGCACTTCAGACCTGGGCAGACTCCAGCTAGTGACCTATTTTATAGTGTTGGCTGTTTCCCTAAACATCACAATGTCTCCCAGATAGACGCTCCCAGCTCAGTAGATTAAAGCTGGATACACCGTTGCTGTTCCAAGCACTCCTGACAACTGGTGTGAGCATGACTCTCTCATGGTTACAACAAGAGAGCCTTATTTTTTGTAGCAGCTTCACAGTTTTCCCACTCCTCGCTCATTGGTGACTCTCTGCATCAGGACATTTGTCCCCCCAGTATATCTAAGAGCCAAATGAGCCTTCCTATATTTTCATGATTGTTGTTTCTGCTCAGAAACATTTTAGATTTTGCACTAATTAGCTATAAAGGCATTTAAATGGCAATCAATAGACTACATCAATTCCCTTTTGGCTTTCAGAGGGCATTCATCCATATTGAAAAGAAAAAGAAAGAACCTCTTCTTTGATATTTATTAACATACAGTCTCAGATTAAGGACTCAAACATACCTCTTTCTCTTTCTTGAAAACCAGCAAAGGCCTGTAATAGAAAGGAATTTCAAATTACTAAGCCACTGTTTTTAAAGGTGTGTATGTCAGAATTAACACCTTCTAATACATTCAATTAAAGCTTCAGCATATCTGAGCAGTTCATCACACCATTTTAACACTGTTTAATCCAAATTCAGCACTGAGCCTAAGTACAACAGCACAGTGTAATAGGTTTCAGACCTCCAATATGCATATATTCAAAAGGTATGACCTTTACAACCAAGCAGTAATTCTTATGTAAACTTGCTGTGTTTAAACTTCAGCAGAAGCAGAACGTGTCTCTAGACTTTTAGAAATAGAAATTACTCTTGAATTGAATTATCAATAATTTCAATAATTATTAATAGAAAAATATTCAAATAGAAAAGTATGTTTTCAAAAGAAAAGAAAAAGCTGCCAGACAGGTTAGCACCCTGGCAGAGGAGGCTGGGCAGGCAGGAGCACAGCACCATTCCTGAGCCGTTAGGGAGAGAGGGAGGAATAATGACCCTAATGTGTTCTGAAGCACTAGGGCATTACACCTGGTTGTAAGATAAAGAGCTCATTGCTTTCCTCTGATGATAAGGTTGTGTGAAGACAAGAGGTAAGGGAAATAAATTCTGCCAGCAAGCAGTTTAGGTAAGGAAAAGCCTTGAATTATGAACCAATAGCTGCCATGCAATTTTTATGCATTCTGTGCAGTCAAACGATATCGAGATCATCATTAGAGCCTATTAAAAACACCACTGTGAACTCGGTGCATGCAGCGCTAAGGGTTTCATCTTGTAGTTAAACTCTTTGATTTTTAATTTCAAAATTAATTTTGCTAGTGAAGATGAAGGACTTGTTTCTAGCACAGAATTCATACAAATCCTTTGCTTTTGCCTTTGGATAAAACTATAATTACAAGTTTTAAGCTTTCTGTGTTCTGGTATTGAGCAAAACAACACAGTCATCATAACAAATGCCCGACAATAATACTGAAGTGTGATTGTATTTATGGACTTTGAAGAATAGAACATCAGAGAAAAGTGATAGCTTCAAATCTGAGCTGTGTAGACCTTTGATAGGCAACATGGCAGCAATTAATCAGAAAAATGACTGTGGTTTAACTGTTTTTCAACACAGCAAGTGTGAAAAACTTATTCACACATATATTTTCTCTACCCTATTTGATATAAGTGGGGATGTGCACAAATATTAAAAGGTGAATGTATGTGTGCAGAGACATCACAGCCTCCCCATCCCATGAATGATAGATGGTCTATTTGTGGGCTTTTTTCTCTTAGTCTGTCAAACCTCCTTTCTGCCACA